GTCTTTCTGAAGTATGAAAACCAGACCCCAGGGCCCTCAGGAAATGAATGGCCTTTGCAGTCTGAAGGGAACCGGCTCTGCTGCAGAATTAGGATCACTTGGCTTTGGACTGAGTCACACTAATGACTCATTGCTAATGCCCTGTGGAAGCCACTTCCAAGGCCCTGGGGTGTTCCTTGTGGCAGGGCCGTGAGCTGGAGGGAGGCTGCCAGCCAGCTCCGCAGGGGTGGGGTGAGGAAATGCCCGGACGAGGTGCAGCCTTGGGACAGCCTTCCCGGTTCCCAGCGCAGGGAGCCTGAGCCTGCCAGGACGTCAGCATGAGCTTGCCTGCAGCCAGCAAGCAGTCCCAGGGAGGTCCTGGCAGGCGCTTGGGCAGCGACTGGGCACTGAGCACCCTAACAAGTCATGACACCCGGTTAGAAGCATGTTGGGAGTGCAAGCGTGTGCGTGTCCCCACCGGCTGCGGCCCAGCCTGGGGGAGTATGGGTGCAGCCTGGCCCCTGGCGCCCTGGCACCTGGATGGGGACAGAAATTGCTTTGGCTCTGTTTTGGTGGGAACCATTAAAACAGGAAAAATCACTTCTGAGCAACTATGCACAGAGGGAGAGCAGCCTCAGTGTCCCCGTAACCCTGGTGGACACAGCAGAGCTCCAAGCAGGGGCTGCGACATGCAGGTGTGCGCGCTGAATTAGTGCACTGGCTGCAGCCCGCTAGCTTCAGTGTAGCTCGCTGGATGTAGCGTGTCGGCTGCAGCGCGCTAGATCCAGTGCGCTGGATGTCGTATGCTAAATGCACCAGATGCAGCGCACTGGATGTAGTGGTTTCCTCTGAGCCCTCCCTGAACAGCATGTTAAGCCAAGACGGTGACACAGGAATGACTGACTCGGGGTCCACCTCGCTGTATAGGAGCAGGCGCCCCTTGTGCTGTGTGACACACTGGGAATGGGCACTGCCTGCCCTCGAGGGGCGACTCCACACAGGGTAGAGCCTACCGGTGCTGCCAGCTGGGGGCCAGTCCTCTAGCTCCTGTAGCGGATGCCTGCCCTCGCTGCGGCGCATCCTGGGGTCAGATTTTGCCGTGGCGCGGGCGGTACCTCTACAGGTTGCGTCTGGCAAGGGTGTGTGAAGCTGATGCTTAGACCCCTAGGCAGAGCGCTCCGGGGTCTGTAACCTGTCTGGACACCCGTGCACGGGTGCATTTCGGCACCGACGCGTGTGCCCCTCTGCATGCACAGCCCTTGCTACCCAGAGGATGTTTGTCTCTGCAAATGACAGGCACACACAGAGCCTTGTGGGTGTGCCACAAGCATCTCTGCACAGATGTGGGGCTGGGGCTGGGGCTGGGGCTGGCTAATTGCTGGCGGCTGAATCACTCCTGAGGCGGTGCTGGCAGGCGGACCAGATCTCTAGACTTTGCTGTGGACTGGGAGCCCGTTCCAGTGCAGCTGCAGGAGGCTCGCGCGCAGCCAGGGCTCGGCAGCTCCAACTCCATAGAAACAGCCAGGCAGATTGCTGCCGGCTCTCGCTGCGTGCGAGCGGGCCGAGGAAGGTGCCAGCCACCCGGCAGAGGAGCAGAAGCCTGCTGGGTAAGTCCATGCTCCCAAAGTTGCTTCCCTGCTTTGTTTTTCCCTCCCCGTCTTCCTCCCGTAGCCCCGGGGGCCGCGGCTGGCTCTGCTTCCCACGGTCACCTAGATGCTGTGGAGACCAAGCATGTGCTTTTCAGCTAGTTCCAGTCGGAGCAAAGCCTCTGCCTGCCTTCTCCATTGTTGTGCAGCAGGGAGCAGGAGAGCTGGTGGTTTACGGCTTGCTGATGCTTGCTGCTGGCCAGCGCTGGCTCTGCTACGCTAGCGGCCGCGTGGCGTGTGCAGCCCTTGCCCGCATTCCATCCGCACGAGGGTGTGCACGGGCTCCACACGTGTGCACGCGTGTGCCTCGGGGCTGCGGGAACAGGGACCGAGCCAGACGTGGCTCTCGGTGGCTGACACCCTTCTCCGTTTAACTTCATTGCTTGCCCCTCACTTGTGCCTTGCCCCTCTGCGCTGTCTCGCTCTTCTCCGGTCTCAGTGCAGTCTCGGGCGCTCTCTTCCAGCCACCCGGGTTTCCTCAGCCTGAGAAAGCGGCTCGTACTGTCCAGCTCGGTATTTGTCCGGTTCCTTCTCCCCAGAGGCAGGATCAGGGGACAGGTTGGTTTGTCTGACTTCCCTTTCCCAGGGCATGGGGCAAGGCCAAGGCCTGCCTCCTTGCCCTGGGATGCGGTTGCTATCGGGACGGGTTAATGCTGGCCAGTGCTATCTGCGGGCAGACAGGAATGCTCCCTGTACCAGACAGTGACTTCAGTATACTCGCACGTTGCAAAATGGCATCCTGGAGGGGGGAGACTTGGACCTGTTGTGAATGCAATGTGGGCAGAGGGCATCGCTCTCTGGGGAGCATTTCACAGAGCGAAGCTGCTGGACGCTAATGGCCACCCTGAGCCACAGCTCGGTTTGTTATGCGATGGTGCGAGTGTCTGACATGATGGGAACCTGTGCAGCAAAGTCCGCGGGCAAGGTGCCAGCAGCCTGGCTCATGCCTGCCCACCCAAAACATAATTAGGACGCAAAACCCAGGGTGTCTGGTTGCACCGGGGCAGTCACGGCACAGATGTTGCAGCCTCCCGGTGCCTCTGGGGCTGTAAATCATCTCATTTTCCACGTGTTTGCAACCGGTGCAAGGAAATAAACCCAGCGTGGAAACACAGTGTTAGGGCTGTGCGGCAGACGCCCTCGGACGCTCCCTTCCCTGGGCCTGACAGTGGTGAGCACCCGCCCAGCGCTGGCTGCCCTCGGGCCGGCCCCTGGTCCCTCCGTAACATGCTGGTGCTAATGTGATTGTTTCTGGCGCGTGCACAGAGCAGCACGGGCCGTTAGCTCAGGGGAGGGGGCGCAGCGGCCCCGCAACTCTCTGCGTTGGACTGTGGAGCTGCGGCCGGTGGCTGCTGTGCAGCACATCTTGGCGCTGGAGCTCTCCCTTTGTTAGCAGCTAATGGAGGCGGCAGCGGCAGCAGCATCTAACGCAGGAGCAGAGACTCCTCTGGCTGCCTCCGGAGCCAAAGGGCACTGTTTCCGTAACGGCTCCATGGAGGGGCTGGTCCCCTCCGGTGTGGGCTGAAGGGTCTCCTCTGCAGCAGCTCTGCAGCCTGCCCGGGGGCCGGCTGCCAGCACCGTCAGGCTGGGCCGGATCTCCCCCCGTGTCCACCCCCAGCACTGGTGCTCGAGAGAGGGCAGAGCGTGGTGGTCAATTCAGCCTGCCCGCAGGCGACGTAGGCCCTGGGCCAGGGCACAGGCTGGGGCAGGAGCTGCCCTAGGCATCTCAGCGCCTATCGCAGAGGCTCGTGTGCCAGCAGGGCTCCTGCCCGCGGCTGGAGCAGGGGCGTTTGGCGGGAGGGCAGCGAGGAGCGAGAGATTCCCGGGCAGCTGCTGGCCCCGGCGCGGTCGGCATCACTGACTCATTTGCAGATGTTGCTACAGCGCATTTGGATAAGATGTCATGGGGTTAGCGCGCTGCCACGTACCGTAATTATACTCAGCAGGGCTTATAATAGCTTATTAGATTGTCATCTGTTAGGCGTAAAGCATCGACAACTGTTACCACCTCATTTATAACACCCTGGGGAGCGGCTGATTAAGACATAAACCCGCCTAAGTTGCAGGGATGCGTGTGCTTCCCGCACTTGAGGAGCGACTGCCTCGCAGCGCTTGGTCCTGCAGCCGGTGCCTGCCCTGGCCCTGGGGTCTGCGGGCTGTCACGGGCGGCCCGTGGGGCATGGCTGGGCACGCTGCTGTCCCCGAGTGCCCCCAGCCCCTTGCGCAGGGTGGGAACCCGGCAGCCTGTCCCCCCGCCACGCCCGTGCCCCCTTGCTGGGGGCAGCCCTGGCCCTCTCAGCCCGGCTCTGTGCCGTAGGCCTGAAGGAGAAGCTGTGGTTTCTGTCCCACCGGTAGCGCGGGCCCTTTGGCCCAGTCTGACACGGGACGAAGCAGTCCCTGGGGCAGTCGCTCGCTGCCCTTTGCCCAGCTGGGAGGCCAGCTCTCCGCCTCCCTTGCAGAGGGAGCCAAGCCGCACCGCCCTGCCCCACGGGAGCTTTGTAATTGGAGCTGAAATGTCTGTCTCGCGGCTGTGAAGAGGTGACTGGGGTGGGCACAAGAGCAGAGGGACGCTGACCGCGCAGGGCAAGGCCCCCCGCGAAGGGGCAGGCCGGGCTGCAGGCAGAACCGCCCGTGCCGCCCCGCTGTGCCCGGTGCAGGGACGGTCCCGCTGTGAGAGGGTCCAGGACGAGGCGGGTTTGGCGCTTGGGCCTGCTTTCCCCACTTGTGTGGAAGGCGCTGGCTCTGCCGCAGCCCAGAGGAGCCGCAGCAAGCTACGTGAATGTCCCCAAAGCAGCAGCGCTGGGCGGGAGCTCGCCACTGTCGGGCCCGGGAAAGGGGGCCTCCGAGGGCACCTGCAGTGTGGCCCAAACACTGTGCCAGTGCTGGGTTTATTTCTTGCACCCGTTGCAAGCGCGTGGAAAATGAGATGATTTATAGCTGTGGAGGCACCGGGAAGCTGCGATGTCTGTGCCGTGACTGCTCCGGTGCAACCAGACACCCTGGGTTTTGTCCTAATTATGTTTCGGATGGGCAGGCACAAGCCGAGCTGCTGGCACCTCACCCACAGGCTTTGCTGCACAGGTTCCTGTTGTGTTGTCAGACCCTTGCACGCCATCACACAACAAGCCGAGCCCCGTCACGTGCGAACCCATGTCGGCAGCGAGCAGGCGCGGCAGTGGGCTCCGTATGGTTGGGGTGAGAGCCCCCCAGTGCCAGGCACTTGCTGCTCCACAGGGCACCGCAGCGGCCCGGCTGCAGCGGGGTCTGTGCGGAGAGGCGCGGCGCGGCGCGGCGGCCAAAGCGGGTGTCCCAGACGGCCCCTCGCACTCGCAGGCCTGGCAGGTGCTGCCATGCGGTTGTCCCAGCGCCCTCGCCAGCGCGACGTGATGGGGTGTTTCGGCGAAGGAGCTCAGCCAGAGCGCCCAGTGCCTCTCCAGGGAGCGCTCCCTTCGCTGGGCTGAACGCTGCTCCGCAAAGCGCCAGGTAAGGAGCCGAGGGCCCTGAGGCCACGTGGCGGACGAGCGGTGTTTGTGGCTACCACATCATCGCTCGGCCCCACCGTGCCGCATGTCGCCCTCCGAGCGGACACCCGGGGCTCTCCTAACGGTGCTTGCCGCAGCCTTACCGGTGGCCGTTGCTTGGGGCTCCCAGCGTCCGGCGCCGGCGGTTCCCTTGGCAGTGGCTGCTCAGCCTCCGCGCTCTGGACCAGCCCCGAGGGGAGGCCGTGCTGCTCCCTCCTGCGCCGCGGGTGACGCGTGCTCCGGGCTGGCGGGAACGGCTGCACGGCAGCAGTGCCCGGTGCTGCCGGCCATGGGCTCAGGGTGGCCCCAGGCAGCTGAACACTTAGCCCCAAGCAGGCCCGGGTGCATGCGCTCTGCTGGGGCCAGGCCTCTGCAGCTCTCATCGCCCTGCCTGGGATGCAGAGGTTGCAGCCCTTCCTTGCTGAAAGCAGGCGCCCTCCACCCCAGCTGTGGCCTGCAGGACCGTGCATAGCTCCGAGTCCGTCCTGGGAGGATGATGCTCCGTGCTCGTGTGCTGCGGACTGTGTCTATCGCCCCAGGCTCTGGAAATCCCCCCCCTCCCCGCATGGTTCCCCAAGAGGGCCTGAGCCCGCAGGCAGCCCCGCGGCCAGCAGTCTCTTTGGAGCTCCCTGCCAGGGCCTGTTCGGCCGTGAGCGAGGAGCGCATTCAGAGCCTCAGGCCCCACAGGTGGGTCCCAAGTTACCAGCAGCCTGGCTGCTGGTGCTGGAGCACGTTCCTGCCGTGTGTCGGGACAGAGCCGGTGTGGAGCCCACCCTGTGCGAGCCCCTTTGCTGCTCAGACGTGTTTGCTTGGAGCCTGCCCTGAGCTAGCACATCGGTTTAGCGCCGCCGAGGGCATGGGAAGCAGCAGGATCTGGTGAAGCAGAAATGGGGGGCTTGCTCACCGTCTGCTACCGGGACGGGGGGTGAGTCCCAGCTGTGAGCACAAGGGGCTGGCAGCACGGAGGGAGCCCGTGTTTGTGGATCCGCACGCGCAGAAAGGCGGAGGCCGGCCAGCTTGCTGCCTTCGGGGATGCGTCATCTCCCTGCCACGTGGAAACGTCTGCCTGTGCTCCTCGCCCTGCTCCTGGCGCTGAAGGCAGCACGTGGCATGGGGCGCTGGGCAGTGAATCCAGCCGGTGTCCCTGGGCTCTGCTGTCTGGCCACGCGCTGAGCCATGGGCTCTCTGGGTGCCTTTGGCTGGCTGGAGCCACGGAGGCCCCTGGCCAGGCGCTGGCACAGCGGTGGGTGGGCTCTGCAGGCCAGGAGACCGCCGCTGCCCGCGAGGGAGGTTGCTGGGTGCAGGCAGATCCCAGTGCTCATCTTGCAGGGTGGGCTACGTGGTCTCACGCCCCAGGCTGTATTTGCATGTGCAGCTGCTCTGGTCCACAAGCAGGACGTTGCAGGACCTCCGCACCGCGTCCTGAGTCGGCAGCTCTCGGGCACCAGCATCCGCGACCTGGGTGGAGGCCTGCATCCCCCTGTGGCACGAGGGGCGGCTGGGCGAGCGAGCCGGAGGCCGCCTGCCTGCTGTGCTTTGTGCCGCAGCGCAGCCGCCGGCTCCCCGCGAGCTCTCTGTAGCAAGCAGGTTGTCTCCATGCTTAGCGTGCAATAATGAGATGTTTTTGATTTTATAATCTTATATAATTACTCTCAAAATAGCCTCTGATTCATCCCTGCCTTTGAAGTTAGTGCTTTGCATTCCAATACGGTTTCCCATCGAAGGAGCCCTGTGTAGTGGCAAATTAAACTTTTAAGAAGTCTTTTCTATCTAATTGAGGCCTTGGCGGAGTGACTGAAGTCCTTTGTGTGCCCGTGATGCGGTGGCAGGCTCTCCCCTCCCTCTGCAGTGCCCCTCCAGCCGGCTGCGGCGGGGGCTGGCACCCGCGTGGCACCAGCCAGCCTGCGCTGCTGGGTGGGGGCGAGCAGTGCTGGGTGCCGCGTAGCTGGGGCGCCCTCACCCCCAGGGAGACGGGCTCCTTTCCACGCTGAGAGATGAGCTCGGTGGGGAACAGAGCCAGCACAGCTCCAAACCCTCTCCCGCCTCTCTCCTACCTGGAAATCCCCCAGATTTATCTTGTGAGGATCCTAGCCCCGGCCTTGGGGGCCGGGGGAGGCGTTGGGATGTGCACAATGAGCTTCACCTTGCAGGAGACCTTCCCGCCCAGCTCTCTGGAGCAAACTTTGGGCTGGACCCGATGATCTTGCGAGGTCCCTTCCAGCCCCTTACCATCTATGAAACTCTTCTCCCACGCGAGCAGGTACCAGTCCCGCACCTCTGCGCTGACCTCCGTGCAGTTGCTTTGGGTCCACTTCCAGGGCTTGGCCCTCCCACAGCTGGCCTCGCAAGTGCTTTCTCTGTGGGAGTGCAGGTCCAAGGGTGGCACCTGCGCCTGGAAGGGCAAGGGCGGCTGAGGGGTTTGTCCCCGTGCCCCCAGGACGTGGGCAAAGGGAAGAGCTGGAAGGGCCGAGCGCGCCCGGCTCCGAGCTGAGGAGCCTGCGGGGCAGCCTGGCCCTTGGCGCCGATGCTGGATGACTGGGGCGTGCCGCTTGGCGCTGGGCTGAGGGAGAGGTTGCTTTGCCTTTCTCCCTGCCACACGCACGATGAGATCATGTCTGCAGGAGGACACAGCTCTGCCGAGGCCCTAATTTTTTTTTTCCTGACCTGGTGCCTCAAAAATGGCTGAGAACTTAATGAAATATCTCCCCAGCAGCAGTGACGCGCCCCTGGCGGACACGCTCCTTTTCCAGCAGGAGCACCATGGCGGTGCCTGACGACACGCCTGGCCCCGCAGGTGGCGGGCAGACTTGGCTGTGACAGCTGCTACTAACCTCCCCAGCTCAGGAGCCTGCCATCGCCTGCAGCCACCCAGCGAGCACGGCTGGTTAATTAAAATGAGACACAGCATTGCAGCATCACGCATCCCTCAAATAGCAACAAGTAGCTTGGGGCTGTGCCCGTGAGCACCGGTACACACTTGGGTTGGTGCCTGGCCTAGGCACCGTGGGCTCACCACACACGTTCCTGCGACGGGCTGGCCTGGTGTGAGCGCAGCTGTGGCCCGGCACCCGCTCGACCCCACACGCTCCTGTAGGTTTTCCCTCTGCTGCACGTGCATCCTTACGGTGGGTTTATCTAGGGTGCGGGGAGCCACGCTTCTCGCCCACACTGCTTAGGCATGACTCGTACTGACTCCTGCCCTTTTTCTGCCCGGCCCGTGCCCTGCCACAGCACCCTGGGCACACTTAAAAGGACTCGTGTCACTCCGCCAAGGCCTCTCTTCTCAAATGCAGCCTCTCAACCCAATGAATTGCTAAGGGGCTTTCTCCTGCTAGAAATAATTTGTAAGTCCGGCCGGGGCACGGGCCCCTGCAGCTCAGACACCAGGCCGGCCTGCCGTAGCACTGCGTGGGGCCGACCCGACGCCTGGCCGCAGCGGCTCGGCTTGCGCGGGAGCCTCGTCCTGCCGTGAATAGGCTGCGGTCGTTCTGGTTCTTCTGTTCGGACTTTCCCAAATATCCTCGCTGGTAACTCCAGCCTGGGCAGTGTGACATCACCTGGAGCGTGAAACCGGACTGCTAATTACGCCGTACTTGTCTAATGAGTTTCCATCCGAGATGAAACAAAACGGAGCCTTCTATTAACGAGCTGCCTTTGCAGGCCCTGGCCGCGCTGGGGCTGAGGGCGGAGGTCCTGCCACGCGTGCAAGCCGCTCTGCCTTATCAGGCTGCACAGATGGGCAGGAGAGGGGCTTCAAGGCAAATTCCCCAGCTCCCCTGGATGAGGCCATCCCAGGACCAGCAGGAAGGGAAGATAAGCCTCCAGGGAGCTTGCTGGTGGTCTGGGGACCAGAGGACAGGCTTGCCTGCATTGCCATGTCGGGTACTGCCACGCTGCCCATTTGGGGGTCTTGCTGGACCAGCTTCTCCGTGGGGCAGCCCGTGGGGCTCCGCCAGCCCCTGCCAGGGGCCGCTGGCTGCTGCGTGGTCGCTTCCCCGGGGGCGAGGTGGCGGGTCACTCCAGGACAGGCAGCCCCGTGGGGTGGGGTGAAGGTCTATGACCTGGCTCCTCGCGCGTGCGAGCGGAGGCTGCTGGCTGCGGGGAGCTCTGTGCACGCGTGGGCAGGGCTCAGGGCCGTGCCCTTCCCGGAGAGGGAGCAGACGTGACCCCTCTCCTCGGCGCGTGCCCAGGGCAGACATGGCCCCGCAGCTTCCCAGGCTGGCGCTGGTTGCCCGGCCTGTGAGCTCCCTGCCAGCGGCCTCTCCCCGTCGCCTCTGCCTGCCGCCCCGCCACGCCGTGGGGGAAGAGCAGGGCGCTGCTCTGCCGGGAGCTGCTCTGGGCGGCTCCGCGCTGGCTTCGAGGCCTCTGCTCGCTGTTTGCGTCGGTGCCAAGTTGCAGGTGCAGGAGACGAGCCCTGCGCCTTGCACCCCCCGGGGCCGAGGCAGCGATAAACACCCAGGCAGCACTCCCGGGAGGCGGCGCTCGCCGCCGGGGAGAAAGCCGCTCCACCTGCCCCTTGTTACACAGCACCTCGCGGGCAAGCCGACGGAGGCTGTCCGAGCACGCCTTTATAGCACAGGCAGCCGAGCGCAGGACTTGCGGTCTGCAAACGCCTGCTCCTCTGCATCTCCGGCTTGCGCCGTTATCCGGGTAGGTGTCGCGCCCCACGGTCCCAGCCGCAGCGTCGTCCGGCCGTGGCTCCGAGCTGCCCTGGGATCCCCGCGGGGCAGGTCCCTTGTGTTGCCCGCGTGGCGCTGGCACTGCTCTGGCAGCTCCGTGGCCTGTACTTTGGAGCTGACAGGCCAAGGTGCTCTCCCTGCTGCCCGCTCCCTGGGGAAGGCACAGGCAGCGAGAGCGGAGCCTGGCCTTGGCCACTTGCGTTTCCTGCCCCTTCTGGGTTTATCTCTTCAATTACCAGCTGCCAGGGAAAGTGCCATATTAGAAAATGGATTTTCTTACATCTTGCACAAGGGAACTGGATTAAAATGGGGTAACAATAGCCAAGCGAGATAAGAGGCTCATGATGAGCTGCAGAAGCTGCTCTGGAGTCGTGCAGCCCTGCTTGCCTGATAACAAAATGCCAGACGATGCTGTTATTTTGGAGGGGGACGGGAAGGAAACCCTCCCTGCCTTTTCTGTATTTTTTCCAAGCGGCAACTTCTTCAGAAAGCAGCAACCGGCCCCATCCCTCGCGGCTGTAGGATCAGGGGCGCCGCAGGGCCGGGGACCAGAGGCTCGTGGGTTGGGGCGCGCCGTGGCCAGAGCGATGGGCTGCGGTGCTTGTGCCAGAAGGAAGCCCGCGTGGTTACTGCCAGGCCTGCCAGCCCTCACCTGCCTCCTGGAGCGTGGCTCCAAAGTGCTGCACATGGCAGGCTGGCATTAACAGGCAGAGCAGTCATTTCCCCGGCCCACGCAGTGCCCTGGAGGGACCTTCAGGGACATCCACCTGCTCCGATGGCAGGAACATCCAAGCTGTCGCTGACAGCAGGGTTGTGCCCAGCAGGTTTGTTAGCCGAGGCGCCGTCTGCCGTAGAAGGTGAAAGATGTTCAGAGCAGACCCTTTCGGGCCCCAGAAGTGTTTCCGTGCCTGATCTGCTCCCAACCCGGGCCTGCACCTCGTGCAATCAACTGAGGTCAAACTCCATCCAAGCAATATTCAGGTTTGATAAGCCCAGATGACTTCAGTGCCGTCCTCGAGCCCACCCATGTTCCTCTGAGGCGCAGGCACTGGTTTAGTAAACCCCTGGTCCCTCTTCCTGGCTTTTGTCTGAGCTGTCAGAGGAAGGATTAGATGGTCAGGCATAAAAGCATCCCTAAATCCCAGCCAGCCAGCTCAGCAAGAAGCAGCATGGACTTAGCTCCATCACAAACCGGCAACAAGTTTCCAGGGGGGATAACTGATCGTTTCTGGAGCTTTTCATTAGCAGCCGTGGTGTGCTTAGCAGAGTTGCGTGCTGCATACTCCCCTGCCGTAAATGGAAAGCTCCTTGCAACGCGGCAACTTCTGGCAGTGATGGATGCTGCGCTGCAGCTGCCCAGGTCCCCGGTAGCATCCTACGCTGGGATTTCAATGATCAAAGGGCATGCACACAAAGGGGAGGGATTATTAGGGATTGCTGGCTGAGCCCTGACATGGCTGGGTAAATTTAAACCTGCCAAGGAGCTTGGTCCTGAACGCAGCGCCACTGGGCTGACAGCTCTTGAGATGTCTGTAGACGTTCAGTGCATTTGCTGCTCGGGTCTTTGGTGCGGAGAGGCCTGAGGCTGCGCGCCGTGGAGGCTGTCAGACCCTGGCAGAGGGGCGCTGCTGTTCGCCAGTCGGTCCCCTGCCCTCAGGGCACCACCGGCAGCGACTGTCTTGTCTAGTTATCCCTTCAGACCTCCTTTTGGTGGCTAATTATAGGCATAATTTTAATAAGGATAAAGATGTTTACATTCGCAAGGTAGCTCCTAGTCACTGAAGCGGATGCCTGGCGTGGGCGTATGTGTGCACACACACACCCACACCCCCCTGAGCTGGGCCTTGGGCCATAGACGTCTGCGAGGGATTTGAACACCCGTGCCAGAAAAGCTTCCCCCGTTTCAAAGAACGTTTGCAAAGGAAAGAACAACAGAAACATTTTCCTCCATCTGGCTCCTTACGCTTTCTTATGAAACTGCTTGACATTGAGAGCCCTGGGACCGGTGCCAGGGTGTAGCTCACAGCGCTGTAAAGCAGCAGCGCGGTGCTCTCTGCTATGCTGAGAACACAATTAGCCAGGTCTCCAAGGAAGCTCCGCTGTTTGTCTTGTGCAATCCTATTTATTATTAAATAAGACAAAAGCCATCCCCCCCGAGCTGCGATGCCCCCTCCCTCTGCCCCGGCGGTAATGGCTTGTGTACGATAACACCCTGCAGTCTGACTCCCGCAGGCACCGGCCGGGCTTGGCACAGGGCTGGGGAGAGCGCCTGGGCTGACTGCAGGAGCTTTCCAGCGCCACTACCCAAGCCCCGCTCCTTCCTTCGTGCCACCGTTCGGACCGTCCTGCAGGACAGGGAGCCCGCGGCACCAGAGGTGACAGAGTCTCCGCGGACCCTTCTCGCTGCCCGGGGATGTCACGCCACGCACACGGGGTGCTGCTCTGAGCGGTGATTCCAGTTCCCGTCAAAGCTGGGCCCTGCGTGCTGGCAGTTGTGCTCCCACAGCGGAGGCTGACGGTGCGACCGGGCTCCTGGGAGGCTGTCTCCTCCCTGCACAGATAAAGTCATGTTTTAATTTCATTCTTAGAGTCTGGCGTTTTGTTGAGATGAAAATTTAAATCTCCATCACGTTTCGTAGCTCTTCCCAGGCGCAGGCATTACAGCTCTAATTATGGCTGGACCCAAATTAAAACATATGATCAAAAGAAGCAGACCTGCTGGAAAAGCCTTGCGTGTTAAGGTGAGGCATATTTCAGGGATTAGTACAATAACTGCTGTAATGAAGAACAGCTGTGAGCTGCCTGGATTGGCAGCCGGAGCCTCAGCTGCCTAGGAAGGATGGCTTTGGAGTGGTTTCCTTTTAAACTGCAGTTTTGGGGTGAGACAGGTGCCGTGTCGAGCTCCTGAGGGGGAGAAGGTGTTGGCGTTAGCTAGATGCAGGCGTGATGTGAACCGGTGGCGTGAACTCGGGCAGTCTCGGGCAGACTGATGGAAACAAGCAGGCAAACACCCTGCTCAGGCTTGTGCCCGGGCACGTCAGTGCCTGCCTCCCTCCCGCTGGCCTGTCCCCGTGCTGTGCTTGTCTGAACAGCTGGGTGAAGGCGGAAGCAAAGGGCCTTTGCCTTCTCCTTCTCGCAGACCGGATCCAGCTCCCTGTGCAAGCCGGGGAGAGGCTCCCGCTGCCTCGGGGCGAGGAGGGTGGACCAGAGGGCTGAGAGCAAATCCCACGGTGCTAATGTGATGTACATGGGGCCGTGGCCACGCAGCTCCTCTCCTCTCCTCTCCTCTCCCTCCCGATGAGAGCCTGGGAGCAGCTGAGCGGGACCCGGCTGCAGCTCCTCGAGGTGAGGTGGTTCATGGCTGGCACCAGAGGAGAGGGCAGCTGCTGGAGTCTATCACGTGGGCGCAGCCCCCCTGCTGCCAGGCCCTAGGGTGGCCGAGCTCCTCCTGTGCCATGTCGGGGCGTCTCCCCCATCCCACCGGCTCCATCCTTCCCTTGGTCACTGCTGCACCACTGCAGCGGTGGCGGCTTGGCCCCAGAGGGCTCCACTGGCGGGCACGCGAGCACCAGAGGTGCAGGAGCTCGTCCTGCTGCCAGAGCTGCGCTGGGCTGGTGTTGCCAGCTCGGCGTCCGAGCGCGGGCCACGAGAGGGGCAGCGCGGGGCCTGCGGCGGGTCATGCTGCCTGCCTGCCGGCCCCACGCAGGGGAGGCCGGTCCCCAAGCCGAGTGCGGCGCTACCGCCCAGTGTTTCGGCACCCTGGCGCCGTCCTGGCCTGGGCGCTCTGCAGACCTCTCCCCGGGCCCGGCAGAGGCAGCGGGGGCAGCAGGCTGGTCCTGGCGGAGCCGCTGTCGGGGCCGTCCTGCTGGGCAGCGCCACCGTCCACCGGCCCGTACGGGTTTCTCACGACCGCTCTCTCTTCTCTTCTCTTCTCTTCTCTTCTGTCCTGTCCTGTCCTGTCCTGTCCTGTCCCGTCCTCCCCTCTCCTCCCTCCTGTCCTCCCCTGTCACTGTCACTTCTCCTGCCCTGTAGAGCTCTCCGTCAGCCTCCTGGCAGTGGTAGTTATTGTGTGTGGCCTCGCCCTGGTGGCAGTCTTTCTCTTTCTCTTTTGGAAGCTGTGCTGGGTGCCCTGGAGGCAGAAGGCCGTTCCCGCTAACCCCGCCAGCGCCCCCAGCGAGCCGGACCGCGGCAAGGAGGCCATGGCCGACAAGCTGAAGGACACGGGCACCCTCGGCTTCCTGGAGGCAGCGGTGAAGATCAGCCACACGTCCCCAGACATCCCGGCAGAGGTCCAGCTCTCCATGAAGGACCACGTCATGCGGCACGCACGGATCCAGCGGCAGACCACGGAGCCGGCGTCCTCCACCAGGTGGGTGCTGCCTCGGGCTCCGCGCGGCCGGCGCACGCGGGTGCCGTGGAGGCTGCCGGCAGGTGCCCGCGCTGAGGGAGACGCGGGCTTGCTCTGCACCTGAGGGCTGCCGCGCACATTGCCAACGCGGCACCTCCTGGGCGCGCTGGGGCTGGCGGGAAGAGAGGGGCCTTGTCCCCTCCTGTTGGCAGGACGTCCGGCCTGGAGCGGGCAGCCGCGAGCAGGGTGGGAAAGTGCCCGTGCAGGGCCAGCGAGCCCCAGCTCCCAGGTGTGCTCCATCCCACGTGTGGGTCCCTCTGTGCTGCCCTCTGGGCCCGCGGCACAGCCTGGGGGGCAAGGAGCCAGGCCCTGCCCTTGGCGCCTGCGCAGCGGCAGAGCTGACCGAAGCAGCAGCCAGCCTGGGTCTCTGCTGCCCGGGGTTAGAGGCTTTGTTGCTGCCTCCTGCTACGAGGCCCAGACCCCCGACAGCGCCACGGTCTGAGCAGACGTCCCTGGCTCCGCGGGCTGGGCGCGGGGAGGGACCGAGCGAGGATGGCGAGCGTTGGCACCTGCGCGCACAGCGGAGCCCGCAGCGCCGGGGCGGGGAGCGCGGGTCCGTGCTGTTGGTGAGGGGAGGTGTGTAAAGCCCCACAGAGCAGCTGCCGCCCTGGCTCTCCCCGGGCGTGTTCCCAGCGCGGGTCGGCCGCTGCATGGACCCCGTGGCTCGGCTGTGCTTGGCAGGCTGGAAGCGGGCACTGCCATGCCACGTTGCTCTGGATCGTGGGCGCGAGACGGGCCAGCTGCTGCATTAAGGCAATCGCACGCCAGGCCCTTGATGGTGCGGCCGGACTCAAACCCTGTTACCGTGACTTGACCCCATTGTGTCAAGCTGTCAATATGCTGGTGGCCACTTCTGCGGGGTGAGGCCGCGCCAGGCGGGCGCGGGGTCAATGCCTTGTCAGATGGAGTTAGGCCCCGCGGCGCTCGCGCTGGCTTCTGCGGCTCAGCGCAGGGCTAATTGGATAATGGGACTGACGGGTCGCTCCCTGCCCGGCTCCGCAGGAGCTGGATTTCAGGGCCCCGATCAATGCTTCCACATTAGCCCAGAGGCAGCGCGAGGGCCTCGGCCCCACGTTCATCCACCTCCCCAGAGCTGGGGACCCGCTTGACCCTGAGGACGTGAGCAAGAGACGGCCGCCACCACTTGCCACGTGTCTGAGCAAGGAGGCTGTCCGTCCTGCCTGGCACTGGGAGCCCTGAGGGGGGGTGGCAGGTGCTTGCATCCAGTTAATTTGCCCCCAAAGGAGCAAAAGAAAACCCCACATACAGTGTCACATACAGGGTCAGGAAACGCCCCTCAGCCCCTGCACTAGAGGAGAGGCCATGCTGCCCGCGGTGATGCGCCGGCATGGGGCTGCTGCCTGGCCCTGCCGGCGCCCACGCTGGGTGTGGGGTGTGCAGGGTGGCGTGCGAGATGTGCAGGTAAAGGCAAGGTGCCCCTGTTGCTTCCTCAGACTGCGCCCCACCGGCAGCCCCACTCTTTGCGCGGGCTTTGCAGTCCCCAGACACAGGACAGCCGAGTGCGTACAGCAAAGCCAGGGCCAGCTGGCCGTGCCACCTCCCTGCCTGCACACCCGCCCTGCGGCTGCCTCCCACAGCCTCCCAGCATGGGCTTGCCGGAGGGTCTGGAGGTCGTGCCAGGCGTATCGGTGCCCTCTGCCCAGAGGGGCATGCGGGGCCGGGCAGGGGCGTAGAGGCCTGGGCTCAGGTGGTCCCCACAGCCACGAAGCTCCCTGGGTTGCGTCCGCTTCGGACCTGGGAAGAGACCTGTCTCTCGGGTGCCCAGAGCCCCTTCCGCTGCGGAGCTCCCCAGCCCGTGCCCGTCATGCCGTGTCCCCGGTCGGACTCGGGTCAGCTCCGGGGAGGGAGCAGGACAGGCCCCGGTGAAGCGCCCAGCTCTCTTCTGCTCCTCTGCAGGCACATCTCCTTCAAGAGGCACCTGCCGCGGCAGATGCACGTGTCCAGCGTGGACTACGGCATGGACCTGCCGCCTGCGGCCGAGCAGCCGACCAGCATTGGCCGGATCAAGCCCGAGCTCTATAAGCAGAAATCTGTGGACTCGGAGGATCCCAAGAAGGAGGCGGAGAAGACCTGCGGGAAAATAAACTTCGCGCTCAAATATGACTATGAGAACGAGACGCTGATTGTGCAGATCCTCAAGGCCTTCGACCTGCCGGCCAAGGATTTCTGCGGCAGCTCGGACCCCTACGTCAAGATCTACCTCCTGCCCGACAGGAAGCGCAAGTTCCAGACGCGGGTGCACAGGAAGACGCTGAACCCCACCTTCGACGAGTCCTTCCACTTCCCCGTGCCCTACGAGGAGCTGCCCAGCAGGAAGCTGCACCTCAGCGTCTTTGACTTTGACAGGTTCTCCCGGCACGACATGATCGGGGAGGTGATCCTAGAGAACCTGTTTGAGGCCTCCGACCTCTCCCGGGAGACCTCCATCTGGAAGGACATCCAGTACGCGACCACCGTGAGTACCCGCTGCGCGGAGCCGTGCGGGCCGTGGCAGGCGTGATGGGGTGCTGTGCGCGCTCAGCACGGGGCGGGCTCGACCCGGCGCCTGGGGGTGGGTCGGCTTCCCGGCGAGCCCGTGCTGCCTGTTGAGGGGAGTTTCTGACCCCACCTTCGCACCCAGCACTTTCTGCGGGTTTGCAAGTGCGCTGCTGCCAGCCGTGCTCGGGGCACGCGCCCCCCGGCCGCAGCCGGCACACTTCCCAGGTGCCCTGGGGAAGCGGCTTGGGCCCAGTGGGTGCAGTTCAAATCTTCCCTGCTCATCAGTTGTTCAACCTTTCTAGTGCACCGGAGGCCCCAGGCGTTCGAGTGTTCGCTGTTTTGCTGCTTGAATGTTTCCAAACCTCAAATCACTCCTGAGGAGTAGTTCCCCGCTTGAGGCCTGCAGCCAGCCTTGTGCTGCAGACACGGCTGTAACACAGATTGTTTTTCCCACTTTAATGGCATGGTTTGATTTCCCTGCGCCCACAGCTGGGTTCCTCGAGCTAATCCTTACACACTGCTAGGAAGGAGTTGATGAGGTTGCTTCGGAGCCCGAGTCCTGCCCCCTCTCCGCAGTGGCCTGGTTAGCCGGCTTTGAGGCTGCGCGAATGCAATTTTCCACTGGTTTGAAAGGCTTTTCCTGACCAAATGGTCCTCATAGGTGAGAGTTTAAACAAACCTGCTTGAATGCGGGGTTAAGGAATTTGCCAAATGAGCCCTGCTTGTGACGAAGCCCTTCATGCAGGGGCTGCTTGGGCACAAGTCTGTCCTCTGGGATGAACGCCTTTGCGCTTCGTCTCCCACCCTCGCTCCTGCATCCTTCCTCCTGGACTGGCAGCTGAGGAGAGCAGCCGTTGCTACGGTCCTGGAGCGCGGGCTCATTATTTCTATGTAAAGCTCCACATTAATCATTATAATGGCATCACTGTCTTGAAGGTTTGCAAACACCTCCGCGCTATTGTAGTTATTGCTGAAAGCCAGGGAACGGTGAGACCCCAGCGTACGCTGCTAATTCTACTGAGCCTGGCTTATTGCAGGGAAGGGCAGTCCTAATTGGCTTCATAAATATGCATCAGGTCTCAGGCAGACCTAGCCCTGGGTACTAGCACTTGGCCTTAATGAAGTTCTTAATCTTCTCATCTTCAGATGCAAACAACAAGGCCGAGCTTCATTTCTGTTATTACTGCTGCTGTGTTGGAGACACTTCTGACACGCAGGCGAGGGGGAAGCCCGGAGAGGCTGACGGAGAGCGCCTTTCCCGCAGTCTTGCTCGCAGCCCGGCTCCCCCAGGGCCGGGGCTCCCAGACGCAGCTTGTGGGCAGGTCCCCCGTGAGTGGCCACGTCCCGCTGAGCCCTGGGACGTGGCTCCTTGTCCCGCCCAGGCGCACGGGGGCCAGGACGGCGCTCTCTGCAGCGAGAGGGCCTCGGGTGTAGGCTGAGCGGTTCGGGAGCAGGGAGCCGAGGCGCAGCTCGTCTTGGCGAGATGGCTGCAGGCCCGGAGCTGACCTGCACATTGTTCGTGTCTTGGTTAATCAAGCCCAGCCCTGAGCTGGAGAAGGCACCTGCTGCCGCGCGTCAGCCCTCCGGCGCTTTGGCAGCTCGGCACCTGCCTGCGGGGTTAGGCAGCGCTGCGGGCTGCGTGGCGCGTGCCTGCCCCTGCACTCGGACGGCGCTGGAGGCTTGACAACATCCCGGCCCCGGGCAAAGCGGTTCCTTTCTCTCTCCTTCTCCCGAAGGAGGATGAGGGCCGGGGGCTGCCGGGCGTGGGCCTGGGCTGTGGGGGAAGCAGGGAGCGCTGTGCTCAGGCAGTCCCGTGTAGCAGACCTCGCAGGACAGCATGGCAGGGCCGTCCCTGGGCTGTCCTGGGCCCTCTCCCCCTTGCCTTGCTGGCAGTGCCCTGGGCCTGGGCGTCTCCCTCACCTGCCAGAGCCCCAGGACAGGCTGACGGTGCCGTGATCAGTCGTGCATTTGCACACCCAATGTGCTGGGTACAGCTGGGTCCCTGGGCAGCACTGTGCAAGGAGCAGCATATTGCACGTGAACCGGAGGGACGCTTGGTTTTGCAGCTTGCTCATCCGGGGCTCCTGGGCAGGGTTTGCAGACAGCCCTTGTCCACCAAGGGCCGGCGGCTTCCCTGGCCAGCGGGGCCCCTCCCCTCTGTCTGGTGCAGCCCCTCTGCCCTCCCGCCACGGGGCACCGACCGAGTTGTCAGCCCTGTGCCCCGCTCGGCTCCCCTCCGCGCGAGCAGCAGGAAGCGAGCGAGCGCTCGCAGGACCCCAGCGCGCAGGAGGCCGTGTCCAGAGCTCTGCTGTGGCTGCTCCAAGCCACCACGCGCTGAATAATGCATGAAGAGAAGCAGCGCTGGCTGGCGCACGCCGTCTGAATGAGCAATTGCCGCGGTGCTGCAGAGCGCGCATGCTTCTGCTCAGCCAGGCTTGCAGGGCCACGCGCGAGTGCAGGCACGCTGCACGCGCTGGTGCCACGGACAGGTGTGTGTGCAAGACCCACACCCCATCTACGGGGCAGCACCTGGCCGGGCCCCCGCAGGGGCTCCGCGGGGAGGTCAGCGGGGCTGTGGCCCGTCTCCACGAGGTGCCTTCGCGCTGTGTGAAACTGCAACTGCGACACGAGGGGCCTGGACTTGGCCGCGCTCGTTCTCCGATAACCCTCTCCTGGCGCGAGGCTGGCACGACCAGAGCGCCCGCCCTGGGCTGGGCTGGCAGGGTCGCTCGCCCTTCGGCAGCAGCAGGTGCAGGGAGCCGGAGCAGAGGGCGCGGGGCAGGTGGGAGGGAGAAGACGAGGGCAGAATTGGTTCCCGAGACCGGCCACTGCCGCGGAGCGGGCAGGGCTGGGCAGGCCGGGTGCTCTTGTGGACACTTCGGTCATGTCTCGTGAGCTGCGGTGAGGGGCAGGCCCCTCCAATGTCAGCGGGACGTTTGCAGGCCCTGGGTTCGCTGAGGGCAGTGCCACAGCTCTGCGGGGGTCCGCAGCGCAAAGGCGCGTTGTTCTTAGTGGCAGCAGCAATTTAAAGCAAAGTTCAGGGTCCAGCTCGCGTGCACGGGGGGAGGCCGGGCTCACGGGCCCCTGCGATGCTGCTGGCGTGACCAGACTGCAGCTGCGGGGTCGGCAGTGGCTTGCAGCGAGGCTCAGGATGTCTGGTGCAGCTCGCAGCAGGAGGGAGAGCGCCAAGCCAGGGTGGCAGGACAAACCCTCCTGGGCCGGGCACGGGACGTGGGCATTGCCTGGCATGGCACCCCCATCAGGCTAGAGATGCAGTGTGGACAAGCCGTGCTCTGGCTTAAGTCTCATCTGACTGCATGGGTCGGTAGGAGAGAGGTGTGGTGTGGTCCCGTCTGCTCTGCTCTGGACAACCCCGCGTCCCAGGGGATCTGCTCCAGAGCCCACGAGGGAGCGGTCGCTGGTCCTGGACTCGACAGAGGAGGACTCCCCTCTGCCCGGCCGTGCGAGTGCACAGCGCCAGCGGGAAGATGAAGAGTCAGGGCTGCAGAGAGACTCCTGTGCAGAACAGAACAGCTGTAGTGCCGATCACGTAGCCTCTCCGAGCCTCCGCGCCTCGTTAGCGCAGACAAGAAGGAAACAGAAGATGAGTGGATGATCAGATGCGTCCCTGGTGAGACTGGGAACGTTAAGGTAATGAATGAGCCTTCCAGATACCCAACGTCTATCGCAAGTGCAACCAATGATTAGCGCATCCGGCGGAGTCGGAGACGAGCCGGTGGATTGCGGCGTGCGAGCGACACGCGACTCGCAGCGCGGCCGGGCCGGCTCGCTGAATGCAGATGATACCGGGGAAGCAGAGGAGACATGATGGGCGCTACTGACAGTGTCCGTGCGCGTGTGCGGTGTTGTTCATCCGTGCGCTTTCTGAGATCAGCGACTGACTCACAAGGAGCCATTATTTCCGCGGTATCTGCCTGCCTCGTTACCCTGAATAGGATTAGCTGGAATTCAGTCGAGAACCAGAAGCCACAGAGGCTCTTACACCACGCGGCGCTCTAATAAGGCCCCTTATTAATGCTCGGTGTGGATGGGAGCTTGGTTCCCAGGGGGCCCGTGGGTAGGTACTAAAGATAGGGTAGTAATAAGGCAGTAACTGCGTTCCCACCTCTCTCGCTCCTGAGTGCCGACAGGGAGGCTGCGACGAGGTGTTTTGCTGTGCTGAAGGGAAGGGCCTTTGTGAGGCTCCTGGCCTGTAAGGTGACGGGGAGCGGCGAGGCCCTGGGGCTGAGAGACGGGCACATTAAGCGCTTTTAGACACAATCATCCAGCGCCTTCGGTGACAGACAGCGTTCCCTCCGAGTCCTACCCGTCGCTCACGCGCCCCGTCTCCAGAGACGTTTCACTGCTGCCGCCGCTTTTGTATTCTCTGGCCTTGAAAAGAGTCGGGATTTATTTGCTAGTCAAGTGAAGCCGCTGTCAAAAACCACGGCTTGAATACACCACTCATTAGTATTCTGCACATCCACGTGGAATAAATATCTCCTCTTTGCCTTACCACAGAAAGGGAAGTCATTTGGCAGGACGCTCGTGCATCATCTAGATGTATGGCGCTCGCACTCGGGAACCTCCGCGTGCCGGATGCCTGAGCTTGCCCGGCGAGCGCCACTCCTTCCACCCGCTACAGCTCTCTTCAGTGGCTCGTTTCCTCGCCGTGGGAAGAGTCAAATGCCCCGGCTATGCAGATAAATGGGTCGTGCGCCCTGCAGAGATGTGAGCTCTACATAGGCACAAGCGTGCTCGTTGTGTATTCTCCCTGCGGGTTTTTGGCATCTCTGCTTAATTCAGATGATGGTGGTCAGGGTGGTTGATCGCTGGTTAAGCAATGCCAGTCTATGTAGCAGCTGGGTTTGGATGCCCATCGCCTTGTCTAGATTCCCCTGAGCAGCCCGGGCACAGACAGAGCCTGCTGGGGCAGGTGTCCTGGTCGGGGTGGAGCCGCGAGCGGTGCTCAGCGCC